CCGTCTCTGGCTGCAACACCAGCAGCCCCCAGTAGGTATTTATGGCTCTGCTGCTCGTGTCTGGTGGAGAGAAGTGGCGCTTCCAGCTGTTGGTGGAAGATCTTCAGTAACACAAGGGCATGAATGCTGTGCCAGTCTTGGTTCACAGGGATGGGGCCATCTGTGGTGCCTGGCAGCCCTGGCAGACTTGGAGCCCTGCTGCAGCGCAGGCAGGCTGCTGCCCGGGCACAAGCAGGACCTGGGGCTCTCGGGCCCCCTGCCTCTGGAAGCGGTCTGTGATGTGACAGCCAGAGGGAAAGGTGTGCATGCTGAGGAGAGATGTGACACTGACCCTAATGCGGCCCGAAGCTGTGACAAAGAGGAACAGCCCGAGAGTTCATGGGTGGAGAAGAATCCAGTTTGTGGCAATGAGCCTTGCCACAGACGTGTCTCTGCGCCAGTGTTCCTAGGGGGCTCTGCGTACCCAGGGCCGGAGCTCGCAATGGGTTTTATAGGTGGACTTTGCAGGCTGGGACCTGAGTGTCTTGGGGGTGCACCGAGGCAGATTGGGCTATGCTGCCTCCGCTGTGACCTGCAGGAAGGGCATGCAAACTGCTCAGCTGTGCAGAGCTGAACTTTGGACACGTGAGGCAGCCACCAGCAAACCACATTAGTTCAGACGTAGCAGCAAGATGAGAAATATGTTAAATGTAAAAGGCAGCGTAATGGCTGGGGCTCTAAACGCGAGGTTGTGGTTCCCACAGCAACGGCAGCCCAGCCCCTGCGTGCTCAGCGGGACTCTCCTCTCCTGGCCGTAGCTGCTCTGCGGAGTGCTCAGATGCAACAGGGCTGAGCAAGTTGCCTTGGGAACTGTGGGCCAGCTCGCCCGCCAGCCGGGGAGCGGCTCTGCTGGAGCTCTGCTCGCCCACTGTGGCATCTTTTGCCCTCGCTTCCTCCTCTCTGCCTTGCTTTAGTGTGTGCATTGAAATTGCTGCTTTTACTGGCTTATTGATACTGCTTAGGATTTAGCCGCTTCCATTTACGTGCGGTAACTCTGACACGGGTGGCGGAAAAGGCACAGTGCCTGTCTCTGAACAAGTAGCAGCGCCATCCCTGTGGGCGTACAGGGCTGGCTCCAGTGCGGGGCTGGGGCCCGGGTCAGGGAGAAAGCGGGCGGCTCGCAGCTGCCCGCCGGGTGAGAAATGGTGCGATGAGGGGAACGAGGATGGCTCCTACTGCCCTCACGGAGCCAGTGTTGATGCTGTCCACCAGCTGTATGCCTGGAGCGCTGGGGGCAGCCAGGGCCACATGCTGCCTCCCTGCCAGCTCAGGGCCCTTGCGCGTGGATGTTGGTGCCGTGGGGCTGGCGCCATGGGGCTGGCTGGCTTCCAGCCTCCCCTCGTCTTCAGGAGGTCTTCGGTGGTGGCAGAGCTGCGCTCTGGCAGTGGCCTTGCTGCCCTGTCAGGCTTCTGGCAGGGCTTTGTAAACCAGCGCGGAGTAGCCTGGATGGCGAGGAGAGGGTGTTATCAGGGTGGGTGGAGTGGGAGACTTCAGCTGGCAAGTGCCCCTGCTAATGCAGCAGTCCCTGAGGACACGTGCAAACGGACTGTTTGTTGTGCATTTACCAGGCACAGCCCGTTTGCGTTTAGACTTGGGACACATCTGGAGGTGCTGCTGCGAAAGAGCTGCAGAGAGGCAAGGGCAGAGATGCTGGATAGGGTGTTCTTCCCGTGCTTACTCTTTGCCCTGGGTGCTGGCCTCAAGCTCCTGCTCTGGCACAGCTTGTGCTGTTCGGTTCATTAATGTCTCTCGCTGTCTGGGGAACTTACTCTAAAATAGCTGCAGTTTTCCCAGATGTAAGAAAACAGGGAGACGCTGCTTGTGGCAGTGGCACACTATGTTTTGTTAAAGGTATCACCCAGATACCCACAAAAGCACGATAGAATAGATTTGGACGTGTCCTGCTGTTGCCACCGTGAGTGCCTTGCTCTGAAGCCTGCTGCAGGTGGGGCAGCCTCCGCCCCGTTGCCCCAGAGCGGGGACCGTTACAGCTCTGGTTGGTTGATGAAGGCTGTGGTCGCGTTACCCCGTGAGACTTCAAACAGCGGGAAGGAACAGCTCGGTCCATCACCCATCTATGGGTCATCCTGCTTCCCTCAGTACAGCCTCAGATGTCAAATATCCTGATATTTGGTGACGGGGGCTCTCACCAGAGTGGCTGGGGGGGG